GTCTTCGATCCTCAAACTGTTAAGGAGATATGTTTATGGGAACAATTGGTTGGAAGCAAACTCATGAATAGAATATAGGACCTCATTAAAGAAATTTTTAAGGGTCTAAAATGATTGCCCAGTAGTTAAGAACATTTGCTGCTCTTATAGAGGACCTGTGTTCAGTTCCTAGCACCTACAATGGCTTATAGCCAACTGTAACTCCAGCTCAAGAAAACCCAATGCCCTCCAATATGTAGACAGGCAAACACATACATGTGCACACATGCTCTCCTGCCGCTACATATATGTGCATGCACACACATGCACACACTCACTCACACACACACACACACACACACACACACACACACACTAATAATAATGATAACAACAATTTAAGCTTTCCCTTCCTAGGGTCAGATCTCCCTCTCCCTCTCTCTGCTGGGGTAGCTGGTAGATTGGGTTCTCCCTGAAGTGTGTTATTTCCTGGCAACACGACTTTGAATAATTCCTCAGTTATTTAATCACAAAGCAATCCCTTTATCGCTCACATAGAAACCACCAAGTAAAGCTTGTAAAATTACAGGATGATGTGGAGGCTTGAGCTACTAGAGTGGTGATTGGGTGGGAGCTGATCCTGAGTAGAAGGGCCTGGACATAGTCAATGTACAATAACACATGTATAGGTATGTCAATGGGAGTGCCGTTACTTTGTACAATTAATATACAGCAAGGCTATACATTTAAAAAATAAGTAAAATGGAGGGAAAAGAAAGGAACTTCTTTCTAATTCTGTCCTTGATGATAGGACTTTTATCTTGTTTTTGCACTCTTGTGGCTTCGTAGGTTTAGGAGAGTCTTCAGTCCTCTGCCGCATGTCTTCCTCCTTTCTGTAAGGACACTGATTGTTACCTAAGGAACGGTCGTTTTTATCCATCCTCTCGGTTCTTGTCACAACCCTTTCCATTTTCCCTACAATAATCTGAGGGAGTGCCACTCCATTTTTGTTATTCTTCAACTCCTCCGCTAGACCTCTGCTATTATAAGCCTTTAGAGCAGCATCCAGTATGTGCGAGAAGTAAATTCTTAAAGTACCATTCGCTTTTTGTCATTTTATTTTGATCTCAGAAGCAGTTGGGCTAATGAAAGTCGAATGTAACTTATTTTTCTGGGACCACGAGATTGGAATCTCTCTTTACCACTGGTACGCCCAATAGCTGCATCTCAAAAATTCTGAGGGATACTCCCAATAATTGTATTTAATCTCCTATACTTGAAGATGCTTTGGTGTTCCTCCTGTTGAAGAGCCATCGATGGTTGTTGTATAATTTTAAAGGCACGGCAATCTACCACTATTTACATCTCACCTGGATTCTGCCCTAGGGAGCTCCAGCTGCCTGTGGTCTGGCAGGAGTGTTCTTGGGTCTGATATATGTGGGGGATATCCGTTTTTCTCTCTTGCTTTCTCCGGAACCACTGGGGTTATTTAGCTAATAAAATGTTTGCAAAAGCCTGAGTATTATCCCAAAGGAGTGATTTGATTTATAGTCAGGGCAGACCAATTGCCAGAACTATTTGGGAAAGTTGTGGTGACAGAGTACTGGTAAGTTTAGAGAATAAGTTATTTCTCCATCTTTCTCCAGTTTCGTGTGGGGAGGATAGGCAGGGATTGTTGCCCGCTGAAGCAAACCTGTGCATTTGCACCTATCAGGTTCTTCCTGATAAAGTAACATGAAGGCATCTACGCAAAGAACTCTTTCCCAATTTCCTTTTATCGTGTACAACAATTCTCATAGCTAAAGGGCATGGTGATCACTGAGGGCCCTGCTTCTCCGCCATTTTCCTCCAGAACATGAAGTGTACTAAAAGCAAGTAACTTCGCAAAGGAAGATCCTTTTCTTTCTTTTCATGGGCTCCTACGTGAAAGCAGTCCAACCCATAGCTGAAAGCTGCAAATCAGGACTAAACTGAAGTTGCTTAAGACATGGAGACAGACAGAACACACCACACAAAACACCAATCCTGCAGAAGAGGAACAAAAGAGTGAAACCAGTAATACCCCATAGTTCCTCAAAGCAAGAGGTCTTTGGTCAAATGGCCTTGAAGGTACCTGTGTTTGAAACCTAAGAAACCAAGAAAGAGAATTCTGGAAGTGTTGGGGTTGCTCATACAACCGGTTCAAATCAAAAGCACACTGAAGCTCAAAGTTCCACTACTCAAAAGGGTTTTGTGCCAAAGGTGCATACTCCCCTACCCCCCCCCACCCTGTCGCACCACTCGAGAAAAACTTGAGAAATCTCCAGAACAAAGAGACTTCAAGTATTTCGCTGGTGTCTGACCTGGTGTGATGTCCCAATCAACTCACCATGATCACAAAACTCCTGGTTGGTTCACAGTGTTTTTATACAAAAAACCATGGAAGAGCCAGATGTTTAATATGCCATACAAACTAAAAATGTAGAGAAATAGAAGCTCAGGGGAAGTAACAACTGGGAAGGTTGGGGACACAACCTCAAATCCCACTCCCCCAGGCAGGATTGGGGGTTATGTAAGGTGAAAGATCACAGGGATAAAACTGGTAGCCTCACAAGTTATAAGGAAATCAAGAGTTCCAGAATTCCCAACACCAGTGGACATCTGGTATACCATGTAGCAATGCACGATTCTGAAAACTAAGCTTGTAAATTACCTGTGACATGCTTTTATTTTCATATATATATGTGTGTGTGTGTGTGTGTGTGTGTGTGTGTGTGTGTGTGTGTGTGTATCACATCATTTTATTAATTTCACTATGAGGCATCTAATTGTCCAGTCCACTATCTCCTCGTACAGATCCTTCTTTTCTTGACCACATTCTGAGCAGCAAGTTGCCTTTTAAAAATAACATTACACCATTTTCCTGTTCAGAGCCTTGCAAGTAGATGCCGTTGAGCAAGCATTGGAACTTTTATGCCTTCAACTCCTACCCATTTGGCTGGTCACCTACTTCTGGCTTTGAAGGCTTCCTGCTATACTTCCAGTTCCCTAGGCCCATTTTGACCACAGGACCTTTGTGCTTATTCGTTTCTCTTCCTAGCATGCTCTGGGATGGTTTGCTCATACTTTAGCAACTACATACTTAAGTGTTATCTCTTCAGAGAGATCTCACTGGGAAGCTTATGGAGAAAACACCTCACACCCCACCGACTCTCGTAATTTGGCTTCTTTTGGATATCATATCAAGTGTTTTTATCTCCCTTATTATATGTAAGCTGTATAAGAGCCAGTAGTTTGCCTCGTACTTAGAATAATCTTTGTAGTGAATACTCCATAAACATTGGTTGAATGAATAACTAATCATAAGTTATTGACTATTACAGAAGCTATAATACATGTTGTAGAATCCATTTAGCTGATCGATATTATATAACACTGTCTTTTAAAATGTGAATTAATTGAAGTCTTTCATGCATAACACAACTTCATATAAAAATTGCAATTTCAGATTTTAGAAAACGAGTAATTTTTGTATTTGAGGTTTCTTAACAAATAGCACACGATGCTTATTAGACAGAGACTATCCCAGACCTCATCACTCCTTACAATCTTCCTGCCACCAGTGACTGGTTTGCACTGGCCTCCTTCACAGCTTTGTGAAGGTGCCCCCCGCAAGTTTCCAAACCCCTACATTAAGTACATATGTGGAAAGTCTCCCAACCTTTGTTCCATGTATCTGTGAAATTTTTCATGTCCAGTTTAGAAATTAAATCAGTCTTGTGTTCATTCTTCCAGTCCCAGTCATAATGAGACACACATACACTGGAGCTCGTGGTGCCATGCTAGTCTCAAACCAATCTCAAACCAATCCAGTGAGCTTGGCAAACTCACTGGAGTCTCCATTACCAGTAAAAGGGCAGAAATATCCAACTGTACTTCAGAATGCTTCTCATTTCTGTAAGGTTATTTTTTTAAAAAAATTTCAAAACCCATAGATTATAAATATTTTTCTTTGTTTTCAAAATATGAACATTAGACCCAGATGTCTACCTAAAGTGATTCATTTGCCGGTGAGGGGCACCCAGTGTCTAAGAAGGATAAAAGGCTACATTCAACAGTAGATGTATAAATATGGAAAAAGGGAGAGGCACGTCCTTCTGCTTGGTACCTATGTGCTTTAACAGCGTGAAAATTTGCCAAGCACCTGCTGTGTGTCAGACACCGTTGGAAGCAAGCACTTGAGGAACTCAAACTGTCTCACACTCCAGACAGTCAGACAGCAAAAAGCTAAACAAGCCATAAAGTAACTTTTATTTGAAATAAGAGTTAATAAGAACCATAATAAAAAAAAAAAGAAAGGGACGGAGAGGAGGATGAAGGATGGAGGGAGGCCTGGCCAGTGGCTGGAGGAGGGAGGAGCAGTGTGATCTAGGTAGGTCCTGTGGGGGAGAGGAGATCTGAAGAAGCTGAGAGAAGACACGTGCATCTGTAGTGAGAAGACTCTGCTGTGAAGAACGGCATACACCAAATACCCTGTAGCAGGCAGATACCTGGTGTGTTCAGGGAGCAGTGTGGGTGGCTACGCTGGCTGAGTTAGCTAACTAAACTGACTGCTGATAAGAATAAGACCTTGAGTACGCATGATGGTCCCTACAGAGTACTGTCCTGTGGGGACAGTCCAGGCTTCTCCACATACGGCTATTTATCTTTTTGTTTAATAAACTCATATTTTAACAGTGCCATGACTTGAGGCTTGAGACCTTATGAAATATGCATGTTCTGTTTTTTAAAGAGGCATTAAGCAACGGGGGCCATTGGCCTTGCAGATGAGTCCTTGACAAAGCCACCATCTACACACAATGGCCTTGCAAACTTGCTGCACTTGTGTTATTCTGAGCAGAGTCTCCTGTTTTATATAAGGAGACAGGTGCTTTCAAAGGGTAGCCCTTTGCTCTGCCTGGCATTCACCCGCACTAAGCAGTCAGCTCAAAGGCAGCCTTGGGAAAGCATCTCTAACAGAACTTTATGTCTCCTCTACACAGCTGCTTGCAGAAGATTGGCCATTTGGAGCTGAGATGTGTAAGCTGGTGCCCTTCATACAGAAGGCTTCTGTGGGAATCACTGTGCTAAGTCTATGTGCTCTAAGTATTGACAGGTAAGAGTCTATTCTTAGGCCAAGGAGATCCTAAACATCATATAACTGCTATGTTACTTAGTGGGTAAGCTTTGCAATTCAATAAAACCAAGCTCCATCTGCTTGAAAAACAACTCTGTTTACATCTTCAGATATCGAGCTGTTGCTTCTTGGAGTCGAATTAAAGGAATTGGGGTTCCAAAATGGACAGCAGTAGAAATTGTTTTAATTTGGGTTGTCTCTGTGGTTCTGGCTGTCCCTGAAGCCATAGGTTTTGATATGATTACGACAGACTACAAAGGAAAGTCTCTAAGGGTCTGCCTGCTTCATCCAGTTCAGAAAACAGCCTTCATGCAGGTAAGTTTACTTTGCTCTTTCTTTCTGCACTTTCCTTATAAATATTTAACTATTTTCCCTAGTTACCCACCTTGGTAAGTTATTGATTTATGACTACCTTTGGCATAAATTAAGAGTTTGGATCCCAAGACTGTGAGGTTAACCATTACTAATGACCCAACCTGCAAGAATCAGGATAATTACTTCTCTAAGAACACCCTAGATAGCAGGGATCCTGATAAATCAGGTTCCTACAACAATGACTGTGGGTTCAGAGATTTTGTATCTAAAGTCTCACAATGATAGATCACTATTGTATAACCTACAGAAGACAATCCAACATTGTCAGAGAAGGAGGTTGTTTAAACTATGTTTAAATAGAAGATACCTGATAATACTGATTTAGAATGGCAGCCTGTCCCTTCATCTCTTTGCGTGCACGCATGCTCCTATTAAGGAACTTTTGATTAGAAAATAGCAAACAATGGGGATATTAGTCTTTAAGAATAGATCCTAAGTATAAGAGTTTCCCCCTCCCCAACAGAATTGGCCAATACAAAGGGAGCTGGCCTAATTATCACCAAAGACTATTTTCTATTTTACATGGACAAAGTTGACATAAACTCTATGAACTGTGTATTCAATAATAAGTAAAAGAACAAAGGTGGACATCAAGAGAAATAGAGAATGAGGGTGTTGTTTACTAAAAAGAGGAGTACCACATTGGGGACATAAAATCCTTTCTAACATGGTTGTGTCTGGATTGATAATGTTTTTTTAAAGGTAACATCAATAAAGAACACAGGAAAGGTAAAACTCCCAAGAGTTTTCTAAATTGACATTACATGTATTACATTATGTAATTAATGGTCAGTAATTAATTACATTACAATACAGATCTCTTCACCCAAACACTGTGATGGCTTTACATACTTAACACTAATAATAGCTAAAATGTTAAATATTCGATTATTCGATGTCTTATTATCACATACAAATTTTGTTCAGTTGCTGAAATTTTACTATACTGGCCCCTAGAACTGAAATATATCCTGTAATGTTCATTTCATTTAATGCAGGCCTTTAGTTTTGTGCTCAGTCGATATGACCCAAGAAATTCTACGAAATACATGGGAGATCTATTAGAAAATGATTGTACCTTTATGAACATATTTTGTTTCCAGTTGACATTTGATACATGAAAAGGTTTTTCTACAGAAGATATTAACCATAAAAATTCTCTCTTCCCCATAGTTCTACAGGACAGCCAAAGATTGGTGGCTGTTCAGTTTCTACTTCTGCTTGCCACTAGCCATCACGGCAATCTTTTATACCTTGATGACCTGTGAGATGCTGAGGAAGAAGAGTGGCATGCAAATCGCTTTAAATGATCACTTAAAGCAGGTAAGAGAATGCAAAGGTCTGGTGGGTCCTGGCCATAATGATGGTCACAAAGATGAAATTCATGATGACAGGGATTATGATTAACATTAGCCACTAGAACATAGTTTCACTTTCTTTCTTCTTTCTGTTATTGCTGTAACAAAACAGACATTTTATATTACTTATTCAGAGACTACACATATTATCTAAAAGGATCCAGAGAGAACCACTGCCCTTTGCTGTTGTTTTATTTTAAGATAGAAGCTCGGGTAGCACAGGCTAGCCTTGAATTCAGGGATGACCTGGAACTTGAGATCTTTCTGCTTCTGCCTCTCAAATGATGGGATTACAGACCTGTGCCATCTTACCCAGTTTCATACACACACACACACACACACACACACACTCATACATATATACTCTCACACACATATATACATTCACACTCTCACACACACATAGTATGTATGTGTAATGTATAATTTTTAGACTGATTTCATGTTGGATGAATGTTTCACCTACTTGTATGTGCACCATACTCCTGGTACCCACAGAGCTCAGAAGGGGCATCAAATCCTCTAGAACTGGCATGATTGATAGATGTGAGCCACTATGTGAGTTCTTGGGATCAAGCCTACGTCCTTTGAAAAGCAACAAGTGCTCTATGCTGGGCAGCCATCCATCCATCCCCCAAACCCTTACTTTTTAAAGATGAATCCCTAGCGATATCAATTCTAATCCACGTTATCTAAACGAATGCTCGTTGCCCTGAGTCTTTGCTTTTGTAAATACTATTTCGTATCCTGTTTGAGGGGTGTGTGTGCTGTGACCACCAAAGGCTCATAAGTGCGTGTGGTCCTATTTCAGAGACGAGAAGTGGCCAAAACCGTGTTCTGCCTGGTCCTCGTTTTTGCTCTCTGTTGGCTTCCCCTACACCTCAGCAGGATTCTGAAGCTCACTCTTTATGACCAGAGTGACCCTCACAGATGTGAACTTTTGAGGTAAGAAAGGGAGGAGAACACAGTGGAACTGGAACCCTTGTGACGAGAAAGGGGAAGTGGTAACTATCGGAGGGAAGGGAAGCCAACAAGCAGAAGACTAAGGGTAGGGGTAGGCATTGAGGGAGATGAGGGAGAGGTGAATAAAAGCAGCATGAGCTGACATGCATGGACACCCCATGGCGACACTCACTCATCTGAACGCCAACTTAAAACTTTTTAAAAAGAAAAAACAAAATAATTATCTAATTGTCATTCAGATGTCGTCCCTCCGCCCCCCCCCCCCCATCGGTCCCACTAACAGGCAGAAAGAATACTATTTTCTTATCCGTAGAGGCCAATTAAGACTCACAATTTTACCTTCACTCCTGTTTTAGACAGATGAATGGAGGGGAGGGGTAAGAGAACCATGGGAACATAGGTTGTCAAAATGATGCATGAGTGGCGGCAAGATGGAAAGTCTCAGACCTGAGCACTCCTTATGCATGTAAATCCTTCCTTCCCTGAAAGCCTCGCCATTTCCAAACGAGAATTTTGATTTTAAAAGGAGGGCTGCATACGGAAGGTAAAGTTAGGAGAAGGGCAGTGTAGATGATGAAGACAGAATAAGAGAGCAGAGCAGGCAGAGGCGTCAAGACAGACACCTCTGCTGGCAAATCAGTGCTTAAATTCAAATCACTGGATGTGGGTGGTGCTGCTTTTCTTCGTGAAAACACAAAGGTGTGCGTTAAATGTACACTTGAAGAAACGTAACTTTTGCGTTTTGGGCTTCTTGCAGTTTTTTGTTGGTCTTGGACTACATTGGTATCAACATGGCTTCTTTGAATTCCTGCATTAACCCAATCGCTCTGTATTTGGTGAGCAAAAGATTCAAAAACTGCTTTAAGGTAAGAGAACAGTCCAAAATGACATGTTTCCTGTGATATGACGTCAAATATAGGCCCTCTGGACTACTAATATTTCTATCTAGAGAGAGCTGGAAAATTGCTAGTTTTCACTACATTGAAACATAGGATGTCTTAAAATACTACTTTTATATATAAAGCACTATATTAAATATCTGCTTGTAAATCCTTGTCGCTAACCACCCATGCCTTGGCCACTCACTAATGCCATTGGAATTGCTGAGATTAACAAAGTTACGTGCACTGTTGATCAATGCCATGGTAACCAATGAAACAACTGATGCACTCTTCCTCTGATTTTGGTAGTTTTTTTTTTTCATTGTTCAGCTACAATTTCTGCTATAAATAAGTTAATTGCTTTTTTATGGACTATGGGTATAAAGTCAAGGGCTAGGAGGTGCCTGAACAGGTAAGAGTGTTTGATTAACAGAAAGGTCTAAGTTCAAGTCCACAGAACCCATGTAAAAAGTCAGACATGCTATGCTTGGTGTGATGACATAACCTCTTAATCCCAGCACTTGGGAGGCAGATGCAGGCAGATCTCTGTGATTTCAAGGCGAGTCTTATTTACATACCAAAAACAGAAAGATATTAGACATAGCTGCTCACATGCCCATAGTTCTAGGGCTGGAGATAAGAGGGAAAAAAGGATTGCTGGAACTAAGATACTAGCTTAGGATACTAGCCTAGCTCCAGGTTAAGCAGGAGACCATGTCTTTAGGGAATTTGATGGAGGGGAAAGATTAGGGCACATAGACATAAACGCAGGCTCATGTGCAGTTGGAATGCTTGACTTTCACATGTCACACATTAAGAGTTTTTTAGTAAATAAGAAAAGGTATCAAAAGTGGCTTTGGGGGCTAACCAGACGATTCAGTGGGAAACAGCACTGGCTATGCAGGCTTGAAGATCTGAGTTCCAACCCACCGTGTAAAAAGCCAGACTCGTCTGCCTAGGCCTGTTCCACCAGCTTTACAGGAGGGAGAGAGAAATCCTAGAGACAACCTGAGCAGTCAGCTGGGAAGAGACAGTGAGCTTCAGGCTCTGTGAGATACCTTGTCTCAAGGGAATAAGGGAGAGAACTCTAGAGGAAAACAAGAGACATCTTCCTCAGGCCGGTTATTCAGTGTGCATGCATTTGTACATATATACACATGCATACATACACATTCATATACATATATTTTCACACACATAATACACATATTTACATACATATATACATGCATACACACATACATATGTACATATTCACACACACATATATACATACATGCATACATGCATACATATACATTTACACATATATACACATTCTTGGAGAATGTTAATTAATAATTTATTTTCCTCTTTGCACTTTTTAGTTGCAAAAAAACAAACCATGCCACCAATACAGTCATCTTTTCAGTTTTTAAAATTGTACTTATTACTATTGTGTGAATGTAATGTGTGCATGAACGCAGGTGTATGCATACCATGGTGCACAGGTTCTTCAGGGTGTGTGTGTGTGTGTGTGTGTGTGTGTGTGTGTGTGTGTGTGTGTGTGCATACGCATGTATGAACAGACAATGGTGTCTGTTCTCTTTCCACCATGAGTAATGGCACTCAAGCTCAGGTCATCATGCTAGCAAACAGTAAGTGCTTTTACCCACAGCGCCATCTTGCTGACCTTAATCACATCCTTTTTAAGGGGGAAAATGAGAGAATGTGGAAAGAAAGGGTCCAGTAAGCCCACACTTGCAAGGACAGCCAGAGCAGAGAGCGGGAAGAGCCGTGGCCTATGACTGAGTAAACACATAACCAGTTGTTCTGTTTTCGTCCAGTCCTGCTTGTGTTGCTGGTGCCAAACGTTTGAGGAAAAGCAGTCCTTGGAGGAAAAGCAGTCCTGTTTGAAGTTCAAAGCTAACGATCACGGATATGACAACTTCCGTTCCAGCAATAAATACAGCTCATCTTGAAGGAAAGAATATTCGCTTAATCTCATTATCCTTACTTTGAACAGATATCATTAGAACAAAACTGAAACCTTTGCCAAATCAAATGGAGAACTGTTTGCAGAAAGGCATGCAGAAATGTAAGAGGGATTATTTTTAACGGTTGTAACTTTTAACGCCTGATATTTCATGAGCTGTTTACAGCCTAAGAAAGCAATGAAAATGGATGAAGCCTCTGTGGGAAAGCACTTAGAGTTTAGCCAGCACTTCAACACAGCTCTTACAAGCTCCCACTGTATTTGTATGCCACTTACATTTAAAGAACAAGTTCACTGCAAACATCTGTTCAGGGATTTAGCATCCAGTCATATGAACCAGAGAAAAGTATGGCATTGAAAAAAAAAAGTTTAAAATAAACTTTCAATTACTCAATTTGAGACTTTTTTAAAAAATTCATTAATAAACATTTTATGTATGTATAATGCCACACCATTTAAATTGTAATGGCACGTGAAATGTGAAAGCAACGTGACTGGTGTACTCTTTGGGTCATCACAACCCCTAAATGATCCGAAGGGGATGTAAGTAGGAGAGAGCGAGCCTAGAAGTATGAAGATCATTATGCTCTTTACAGTCAAGTAAGAGATAATGTCACAGACCGGGGGATGGGGATGTGTGAGCTGCTGTCACTGACACTACTGAACTTCCCACCCACACGCACTACGGAATAACGCAGAACAGAACACTACCTAGGATTTTTCACGGTTCTTTCAACTACCATTAACACAGTAGAAGCTTAGTCTCTACTTCGTTAGCTTCATCATCTGTACATACTTAGCTATAAGTACCACATGTAGATGATTTAACAATGGGCAGGTCCCAGCGTTCATAGCTTTATGACAAGGAGATACCAGTCACCCGGTAAGAGGCAGAGATGTGATTGCCCGGTGCCGTGTCCACATGGCAGAGAAGCAAGGAGCATCCTTCCAGACGTGCTGTAGTTAAAATGGTCCACAGAACAGTGTGATAAATCTTTTAGAGTCGTAGAAATCAGTCACTGTAACCAGCTGTCTTGGAATTATATTGCTAATTGTTTTGTTATTTCTGGAAATAGCCAACAGCAAGGTGATCTGGTGCTCTTCTAAAACTTAGAGGCCAGACTGCTTTGGGGGGGGGGGCTGCAAATGCTCCGACACTCTGAAATCTTAATCTGCTTCCACCAAGTGCAGTAGGTTCACTCTAGATGAGCAGTGTGTGAAGAATGCCCAAGGGAAAACGGAGAGAGAGGAAACGAGGTGGGGTAGGAGGAAGCCCGAGGGGAAAGATTCCCATTCTTAGCCCGGGTGTTCGTCACTGCCGCGTCATATCGGAGCCAAAGGTCCTGGGTCGTCTCCAGCAAACCACAGTGCGGCGTTCTCAGAGTGACTGAGGAACAAATCAAGCCCAAGAGCTTTAACTCTGTCTTAAAATATAACAGAATTTCCTCTCCCCCCCCCCCCGAGTAACCCAGGCCACATGTTGAAAATGAGCTAAGAATGCCGTTTTCTGCCAAAATCCACTGTGACAGTACAATAAACCCAAATGTGACAATGAGGTCGAAGAGAAAGGACAATATAATGAACTGGCCTGCCACAAAGACTCTACTTAGGAGTCACCCACGGCTCCTCCTGATTAATTTTTACAAATACTTTTCATCATAAAAGATACCCCAGATTGTCCGTTTTATGTTAGTTATGGGCCCCCAGTACTTTCACGCTGCGAATGTATTTTCAATCCCTGTTAAGCTTTAGATCGATGTTGTTCCTGTGTACTAAGTCCTTGCATCTTACGTCCTTCTTGTTTAACCCAAATGCTCTTTCCCTTTAAATGTCAGACTCATGAGCAATAACCATCTTGCCAAATTATGAGACGGAATAAGTACTAGTCATATAGAATTTGCAATAAAATTGCATGCAGTGGATTTTTGATACGAAATTTTAGCACGCAGATAAAGGGTGATAAGAAACAAACATAATCTCTGCATAACTAAAAAAATCAAGATGAGAAAATGTGCCACCTTCTAACTTTAAAGCATATTTCCTGTTGTTCAAGTTGGTTAACATAGCAGTGCATAGAAATAGTGTTAACAAGGACATTATAGGCCAAAAGATTTGTAAGTGATTTTAACTTGTTTTTCTCCTCAATTACCACTGCTAATGTTGGTCTGTGTTCAAATCCTTTTCAGTATCAACAATGTACAATAGCCAAAGGAACACTGCTTTTTTCAAAACCTGGGTTTGTTGTGTCTAACATACAATGTAATATACCCATGTAAAATAATTGTGTTTTGTTCTGCCGTGGTCACTTAAAGTGGCAGCTGATGTAGTTACTAACTCCTTGTTTTGTGAACAAACCAATAAACATTCAAATAATTTTGAAGAACAGCTTATCTTCTACCATGTGGTCACTCATCAACTCATATTACCTAAATGGTTAAAGGAAATAAAGATGCTGTAAATGAACATTATTTATGTTAAACATAAAATTATCAAGGAATGAATGTGAAATTAAAATACCATGATTCTGACTTTTGCTATGTCTCATTGTACATATGTAGCCATCCTTCAAAACTGATTAGCTTCTTGACAATCACTAGGGATCTTTGCCTTTATCTGCAGAGGTTCTTTTGGAGGGTTCCCATCTCTGAGTCTTAATGTGTTACATTAAGGGTGAATTTCACAAGCAGCCTTTTAGTGTTGACTATGTGCATGGAAGAATGAAATTATTATTAGACTGAGGAACCTTCGTCAGAAAATATGGTCAGAAATACTCCAAAACCCCTAATTTTTTGAAAGTGGAAAACTATAACATAGTCAATGTACAAATACAACTAAAATGTTAAATAAAATGACCTAAATACAAAACAGGTAACTGCAAATCCAAAGGACCGGACCCTAGCATCCCAAAACTACTGTGTATAGTTGGTGATTGCCACACAGTCTTCTAAAAGACAAGTGACTTACTTTGGTAAAGACAGACAAATTATATGTAGAATTGTAGGCATGATCATGGGATCTATTCTTTTCCCAGAATTGAGGAAACATAACTCCATTGACAGTGAGATTTCCAGCCCTCACACTTTCTAGCAGTAACTAGGAGTTGGGTATAATTTGGGCAGGAGGATGAATTCTCTATTTGAAGAAAACAATCCTATCTGCAGATGCAAACATGGAAAGAAGGAGGGTTCTCACTGTGCACATTCATGGAATTTTTAAGTTGCCTCTTGGTGCCACATTTTAAATATGAATGAGTGTCAGAATTCCATGGGCATTTTGTGAAACTTTGTGGTGAAAGACAAAACTGATAACTAATGGGAAAATACAATGTGAGGAGGCTGAGCAAGCAAAGGGGAAAAGTCAACACAATTAGACTTAATTTTCCCAGAGTAATAAGACCAAGAAAGCAGAATCAAGGTGTTTAATGATTAAAAGAACACTGATACTGCTCTTGAAAACTAAAGATATGCTTGATGAGCTAAAAGACAAACGTAAAGAGCTCCGATGACCAACATTGACAGCAAATAGAACGTGAAGGGTCTCTACCAAACTGTGCTCACTAAGTTGGGCTCAGGAAGGAAATCAAGAAGGCCAGGAAACAGATGAATCCAACACAGGAAACCCAGTGACTGATGTCAGCATGGTGAAGTGACAAATACTTCAATTGTATAAGAAGAAATCAGTCCATTAGAAGCAGAAGAGTAGACAAAGGATAACTTGAAAAGAAAAAAAATTGAAAACAGAAAGATTGTGTGGTATATTTAATGACAGTCACAGCTGTCTGGCAACACCTGGCAATAAATGAATGTTTCCAAGAAAACACTGATATTAGATGGTTGTGAAGCAGTGGTTGTTCTTGCAGAGGACCTGAGTTCAGTTCCCAGCATCCACACTGTGACTCATAGCCATCTTGGACCTCCAGTTCCAAGGGATCTGATGCTATCTTTTGGCCTCCTTAGGCAACAGACATGCGTGTGGTGCACTGACATACGTAATACAGGCAAAACACCTGTACTCATAAAAAAAATAACAATAACTCTCTAAATATTAGTTTTAAAAAGGCAACTATTACTCTCCCTATAACTTTGTCCTTGTCTAGAAAGAGACATTTGCAGCTTCGTGGCTTTGATTTAAAAAAAAAAAAAAGTTATCTTGTAATAATAACAATGTTTTAATAAACTCTGTGATTTAAATAAATTAAAAATATCTGGACAGTAATGGGGTAGGAAACACATTCTCAATGTGTTTCAAAAAAATCATTTATCCACGTTGAGAAGTACTTGGGAATTAAAATAGGAAATAATTATTTAACCTAGG